ATCAAACCTGTCTAACCCAATGCTCTGTAGGATCCTCAATAATCATTAAAAGTGTAAGTGTGAGAATCATCGAACAAATGTTTTAACTTTTTTTTTAATGAAACTGAAGGGAGATGACAAAGATTATAGTTTATTTGTAGTTTATAACACTGTTTATATTTACAGTATACACAATGCTCTTTTTAGACCACACCCTAATGTTAGTTTCCTGAAAAGATCACAAGCTGATTTTACTTGACACCCATTCATTTCTATAACTACTGTATTTCACGGTGCAGCATCAGGTAGCACAAGACTAACTGGAAAATGTAATATTACAGGGTAACAGGCGAACTCTGATCTAACAGTGAATGAGTATTTATTTGGATTATTTTGGATGAGCAAAGTATGGATGAATCCAAATATGTTTTAATTTTAACTTGGTTTCTAAAGAAATATCAAAATATAAGTGTACTTGGTTCCCAATTCCAAAAGCTGTAGGTATTTCTGGGAAATTCTGGGAAGATGTTGGCAGTACATCTGTCCCAAGGATCTTGTGTGGCAACACAGATCCATACTTCTTGCCACGTCAAAGCCTGAAAATGCTCTAGAAAGCCCTGATCTCCGAGCCCTTTTGAAAGGAACTTCTTGACTTTAAGTTGTCCATGCAAAAGTGAGAAAATAGGAAAGTGCCATTGTGTTTGGAAGCACAGTGAAAATATGGTTTCAGATAGAATACTCTTGACTATGGCCCAGTGGGGATGAGCACAGAGTTTATGTTCCAGCAGAAGAAAGTGAAGATAAGGAACAACTGCCTCAGGAATACTTGGGGCTTTCTCAGTTCAGTGTATGGGTAGTTGTGTACAAAAATAAGTCTGAATGTTAATAAGTTTGAGGCTTTTGAGACAGGACAGTGTAGCAGAAAAATGTTTTTCATGGTGACAGGACTTATAATTTTATGGAATGGAGTATCTTAGAGACTAGAAGTTGTGTTAGCTCAAAGGGCAGTTTGCTGAAACAATACACAGAAGGGGGAAAATGAAGCTCAACAAATATTCCTTCTAAACATTAACACAATTGGCAATGAAATAAAAGATAACAGAGAAAAGAACTCCCTACCTCAATATATTCCTTGTTTTTTACTTTAAAGGAAGAAGAGCTGTGAGAAAGGAATCTTATCACAGGGGGTTTAATTGACTGGCAGTGGCCTTATCTGCTTACAGCATCTGAGTCCCATACTTGGCACATCTCTTTAATGTCAATATATTTACTAATGCCACTGAGTCTAAGTGTATCATCCAATAATGCACTATAATAAAACAGCACAGGGGTTAAATTGGAAGTGGAGCAGTAACTTGGCCCAAGAAATGGAAGCAATATTAGCTTGTCGGTTTTTTTAGGGCTCTGATTCTTCTAGAGGAATTAAGATTGTTTCAATTCTTTCTTCTTTCTTGTTTGACTGATAATATTGCTTAAAATAGACCCTAGTATTCTAATCCTGCTATGAACCATAGTAGATTTTTTTGTTATAATTATAATTCATTAATAAAAGTGATAAAAATAGGCAATATCCAATAAAGAGATCAGCCTATATAATCTGGAAAGACTATCTTTTTTATCATATTATAAAATTGCAAAGCTGATTTTATTTTTTTGGATAATTATTCAACAGCATCCTAGTTCTCTGGTTGGTTAAAAATAGCTAAAACTTTTGGGAATGTCTGGGAATACTACCCAAAATATATAACCGTCAATCATTTTTTTTACTGCTGCTTATTTCACAGACGTTCCTCTGCAGTGTGCAATTATTTCATTGTTCATATTATTAAGTCATAGATTTAAAAATTGAAGACAAATATTTTATGATCAAAAATGTTACAGAAAGGCCATCCTTTCTGTGATTGTGAGTTTGGAGAATGCCATTATTCCTGTGTATAAAACTACATTAGCAAAAATGTGCAAAATGATGTAAAAATAAACTTTGTAATAAATAAAATAAAATAAAATAAAATAAACTACATTAGCACATATGCAGTTGCCTGCAATTACACTGTGGTATGCAGTCACTTGCTCCTCAACTTACATTTTTCGGGTTCAGACAAGTTAGTGCAGCCTACTACACCCATTCACTAATGGCCAGTTGGGGGCTGCACTAACTAGTAATTATTCTAGAGCTAATTCTCTACCAGAATTGATGGCAAATTTCCCACAGAAAGAGAAAAAGAAGACAAGATGTAAGTTGTGTTAATGCCTACCTGACCCTTACATGCCTACCAACTGGTTTTAATTAGTGGATTTCTCTCACCTCTTGAAGCAAAATTATACTACTACATTCAATAGATTTTTTTTACATGTACTTAACAGGAAAAAAAAAACTTTCATCACTTTCATCTTTATCTATTTCTGTTTTCATGAATTGTGTAGCTAAGTCCCTGGTGCAGAAAACAAAGTAGCCATATTGTGACTAATAGAAATCTTTACGTATTCCCAGGGGAAGTGGTACTCAAGAAAAAAAGGTGCTCCACACTGTTTTGTTTTGTTTTGTTTTGTTTTTACCCCTAAAGGATGGGTTTGAAGATTATGTTGTTAGAATAGGTACAATGACATTACATTGTATTGTTATTTAAGTTTGACTGTCCACCAGTGATTTTATTAAAACCTTAGGCATAAACTGTAGAAACAAATACTATTTAATCAAAGCCCAAATATTATTCTCTTCTGAAAATGTATAATAGGGCTTTTAAAAGACTCCGTTTAAAAAAAAATCTGAGTCTGTTATTTCCCAGAAAATATCCAATTGACACTTTTTTCATTGAAATGGGTTATGTTGTTAAGAAAAATTATTATAATAGGGAAGACTTTCAGGCTTGTTATGCATTTATTTAAACTGAAAATGTATAATCTAGTACACATAATATAAAAATAGAACTAGTTTTAATACTGACTTCACACAATGTTTTCTAATTTTTGTTTTGACCAGGTTATTTTTCTACTTAACTTTTATTCAGAAAGCCCTTTTGGATTTTTTAAAAAAGATTTATTTACTTATGCATACAGAACTGGGGTACAGGCCAGAGGTGTAGGGACAGTGAGAGGATTCACCAGAGACAGAGTGGGGAGCAGAACAGGCCGACTGACAAAGTACACTGCTGAGGGGAGCAGCGGGTGGGTCAGGAGAGGTCTGCCGCGCCACGTGGGTCACCTCTGGGGTAGAGATCGAACTCATGCTGAAGTGGCTTTAGCTTCTTAGTGCCATGCTTTAACCTGCTGCACTACCATGAAGGGCCTGAGCCCTTTTGGAATTTTAAGACCCAGTTTAGATCACTATTACTTTCAAAATTTTAGCTCATTGGAAGCTTCTTTCATTATCAGTACTTCTCTAGGGCTAAGGGATGGTGCATTGTTGGGTCAGAGGGAGGGGAGAGGAGGGACGAAGTTTGTGGAAAGTGTATCTATAATAACTTTTGTACTTGTCAACAATGCAAAATGAGAGTATTGTTTCTTTCTGGTTTTGAATGGCAACTGCAAAGCAAAACTTCCACATAATATCAGGTCAGGTCCACAATTAATTGCAGAAGCAAAAGGCTCCTTGCACTTTATTCTAAGGACTCTAGTCAGTTAATTGGGTCTGCAATTAACTTCTCTGGTCACAATCAATTGCAAGTGCAATTTCTGTGTGTGAACTAATTCTGTGTGCAAAGGTTGTCCCACTAAAACAAAAGTCTGAGTTAGAATGAAATTTAGATCTTTCTTACCTTTCTATATCCTAAAAATTTCTTCTGTGCTCTCCAAGAAGACCAAGACTAAAAGGTTTTGTGCAAAAGTCCAGTATTTGAAAAAATTTTGTACAGGTTCTTAAGATGTAAGTACTCGAGAAGCTAGGAAAGTTTGCCTAACTTTTTTTTTAACAATAAATAACTTACTAACTTAAAGTAGAATCTTAATTATATGATAATGTTAGTTGCTTTATTCTGCTTTTCATATTACTGTTGAAATGTGTTATGTTTCTACATTATACATAAATACACAAACACATGTACTCACACATGAGCCTAAATAAATTGCAATTTAGAATTCTATTACAGTAGATAACCTAAGGCACCACTCTACTTACAAGGCCTTAACAAAGAGCTAATGTGTAATGCAAAGATTCAGTGAGTTCTGCTGTTTGTCAAAACTCTACCAAGTCAGCCTAGGAAATTTGGCCTCACCAAGGACATTTAACACAGTAGGTAGATAAAAAACAAAACAAAACAAGCAAGCAAACCAACAAACCCCAGACATTTTGACAGCAGCACATATTTTTAAAGAACTTCTTGAGCAAATATCTGAAATTCCCAATGTCATTTTGGCATACCTATTTTACCACTGTGTTGCAGACAACAGCTTTTAAGTTCCCCAATTCATAAATGTAATTAAATAATTACATTAGTGCTAATTAACATGAAACTGCAGATTATTTAAGCGCAAAAAACACTATTCAACTTCTTAATTATTCTTGTTCACACAGCATTTCCTTTTGCTCAGGCGCCCTAGGTGCAAATAAAGCATCCCATCTGCTCGTAATTAGAACTAAATAATTTCAGAGAATGTAGCTTATCATTTTGACTGCACATTTGATTAAAAACAGTGTACAAGCAATATCCTGGCTTATTGGCGTAACAGCAACAACACACACAAGCCTATGTTCTTCTATCATTAAAGAAGATCGAAAACATTATCTGTTATTTCAGGGGGAAAAATACAACTTTTTAGTTCATTTCATACAGATGAAAGCGAATTACAGCAAATCACCTCTCCACTGAATAGCAGCCCCCACATAATGACTTTATTTGCTTAATCCCCAAATTAAACGCCGTTTCGAGCGAGGGCCCTGTGTTATTACTCTCATCATGTCGAGAACATTTTCCTGCCGAGACCAATTTGAATAAAACAAGGGGCCTTCCTTGAACTCAATCAAGGAGCCATAATGTGGTGGGTAATAGAGGTTGCTGATAGATTTGCAGGCAAAAGTGTTATACCTAATGATGGGATATGGATAATAGTCCTCCTGGAGGTCCTGATGCGATTCCAGTTGGCTGCCAGATGCTAAAAATCAAGAAGAGCATTGATCAGTGACAGGAAGCTGTAGTGGATTCATCTAGTCAAACTTCAGCTGTTTTTCCACTGTACAGTTAAGCCAGGCATAAATTATATTAATTGATTTAATTACATACTTAAAACATCTTCCCCAATTAATTTAATTAGGTGGCTACATGATGCTACTGGCAGGGGAAGATTAGAGGCAGCTCACTTAATTAACAGAATATGAATGAAAAAAAGAGAAAGCAAACATAAATGAAATTGTGAGCACTAATTAAAAGGCTGTCTGCAAACTTAAATACTTTCTGACAAAGTGGTGACAGCAATGTAGACAAGAGAGGATTTTTTTTTTCCTAGCAAATTAAAGTGCCAGAAGGTATACATAAGGAGAAAAGGTAATGCAGTTAAAACATTGATTTTCTGACAGAACCACCGTAGTCAAAGTGAAGGGACTTTTTTTCCATAGAAAAATTGCAACAGATTTTGCAGGTGCAAAAGCCAGTTTCCCTGTTAGGGGTAAAAAATGACGTACAGACAAATGGAGGGTTTGAACTTCCTACACTGAGGGGAGTGGAAGGCAAGGGAGAGTGAAGAAAGAGGGTGATTAGAGAGAGAGAAGGAAAATAGGGAATGTACTGCAATTGCTCAAGCAAAGAATGTTTAGAAAAAGAGGTCTGCCTTAACAGCTGGCAGCCTTGTGTACCTTGGCTCGAATGTGGAAATTCTCCAGGTGTCTCTGACGTGTTTCCATCAGGATCTTCTTTACTCGCGTCTTATGGCAATGTAAGAGCCACGAAATGGCAATCACACCGGACGCCCATTTCTGCTGGCGGTAAAGGAGGAAGAACTTCCTTGTCTTGTAGCATTTCCATGTCGCTTGGATCTTGTTGGCAGCCACTGACCTCCCGTCTTGGCCCTTATACCTTTGCCCCGGAAGATTTAACAACGTTTGGATGGGCAGTGGGTTTTCTATCACTGAGAGGAGGTCATATTTGGTAAGTTTGTTCTTCAGCTCAAATTCTGGAAGGAGGGATACTAAATTATTCCCTTTTATTTTGACTTCTGGTACTGCATAGTCCCTGAGAAACTTCTCGATGTGCTCCAGGAGAGAAAAAATACTTCCCCAAGACAAACTAAAATGTTGCTTGAATGCTAAGAAATCTGGGGCTGTCTTGTCTATGACACCATTATAAATTACAAAGTCATGTTCCCATGGTAACTTCGAAGTTTTAGGTGTGATGGTTCTCATGCCCTGTGAAGAAAAGTATTGTCAGAGATGGACTATAATTGTGATCCACTTTCAATGACATAAGGCACACACACTACCACTTTACCATTTATTCCTCAATAGTGGAAAGGAATAGATTCTAATTTTGATTTAATACTTACATGAAATCTGGTCATAAAACACATTCCCAGAATATCTTAGAGGTCACTCAGAGTTATTATCATTTTTATTAAAGTGATATAAAAATTTCTCAAGGGAACTGATCATATCAGAGATATGCTTTTCATTCACTTTGATATGGTTTGCTCACCCTAGAATTTCTGTGATTTACATTTTGCAGTTGCGTGCATAGAAGCATATCACTGCTTTCTTGCTCATAAGCCATCCACCAGTCCCCAGAAAAGGATGAAGCCTTACTTTATGGTAACTTTCAGCGTGCTCAAAGCTACCCTGTCTATTTTGGCATTCTGTCAGTTGCTAAGGTTTTAGAGTTCTTCCACTTTCTCTTAATATCCAGGAGTAATTTTTACAAAGAACATACTATTATCCTACTTGCCACTTTCTAGCTTCCACATGATATATGTTCTTTAGTTCTCAAATCTGGCGTCTTCCTAGGGACATATCTAGAGCTGTGGTGGATAGAATCTGACATCTTATAACAGACCCATATTTGGTAAGTTTATATACGTTTTTATTATTTTCATCAGTATTGACTGAACTTTTTAATTCTTGAAAATATACTGTTTTCATTTTTAAATGTCAAGAGGGGTTATCTAAGAATAAAACGATGGGCAGTTTTTCCACTTCTTTATACTTTTCTGTAGAAAACAATCCCATACATTCCAGAATAAGTGATATTTTAAAAGTAAAATCAGAAGAGGTTTGGATAACAATAGCAAGATGTCACACACATTTAAACAAAAGAAAAAAAAGAAGAGTTTGTTGTGTCTGTGTCCATTGTGAAAAGCACTGCATTCCATTATGGAAACCTGTTGCACTAGAAGGGTAGCTTTTTGGCCTTCATGGACTAAATGACACAGATAGATGTCTCAGGTCCTGCCTACTCCTCAGACACTAGGCATCATCTAACTGTTCTGGTTGCATTTTGCTTGGGATTTGATGAACAGAGTTGTCTTTAATATGTCACACTTCCCAGGTGTATAATCCCACCTTTATTAAATGATTGGATTATGTTGTTCTCTGCATTTTAAAGAGTTTTTACAAAACTCAAAGGAAAAATAGACCCAGTTAAGTTAGCAATAACTATTATGCCTCAGCACTGTGTTGAATGTTAGACTAGACTGTTCATCCTTTGTCTTTACTGAACAAATGTTAACATATTAATGAATTTAAGGCAAAAAGCTATATAAGAAAAAAAGTAAACCAAAAGGTATATTTATAGTGAAAGCACATAAACAAACACATCTTTCAACAAGCGTTCCAATCTTTTTCTTCTTTTAGATTCTGGACCATAAAATAACTTCTTATACTACATCTCAAGTAAAAACATTGAAACACAAGTGTGAAGTCCAAAGGGGGTATTTCCTTAACTTTAGAAGTAGACTTAAAAATGGCAGTGAATTTTTGTATACTTTTAACTTAAGACTTGTTCTACACATAAGAATGGTGGGGAAAGCTTTCTTGCCAAGACTCTAGCCCTTTCTGATCTAATTGAGATACCAAGAGTGAATGCAAAATCAATTCCATCTTCTTGGATGGGCAAGAGAGACTTGGAGGAGTCATGCCTCCTTTAGCAGACACCAGTGCTGGCAGGAGGAGCAGCAACTCCTGGAAGAAGACAAGTGGCACATGTTCCAACAGAAATGGCCCGTGGCTATATTTCTGCTTTCCTTCAAGAAGGGGCTCCAAGGGTGGGAAGGAAGAATCTGAGAAGAGTGACGGTGCTTCATCAGTGAGAAACAGACACATAAAACCACAGATGGGCATGTATGGCGCTGGCTGGTCTTGTCAGTCACATGTTCGATCCTGTCAACAACACTCCAAGACTCTACTGAGGCACAGTTATGAACGGGATATTTGCCAGGGAAGCTAGTGTTCTGAGAAACATTAAAATAGTTAGGTTCTTATCTTTGCAGAGAATTATGTAGAGTTGGGACCATATATGAAAATGGAGCACCCTTGGGAGTAGCTTATCAAGGAGAAGATTCTTAAGTCTCTCTGGACAGTGCCGTTTCATGGGGTAGGTCTAGCGTGTTTACATATATCAGCAAATACATTTAAAACCTTTTGAAAGAATAGCCATGGGATGGGAGAATTTAACAGTGGCTGTTTTAGAACAAAGGGATTACACCTCCTTACCTCCTTGGATGATATGCCAGTAAAGACCTGCTCTCAAAGGAAACATACTCTTGGACATCAAATAGACCACTCAGGCACAGGGAAGCTATGGGTTTGGAGTCAGCTAAAGCATAACTGTAGTACATCTGTCACAGAGAATGCCACACTTGGGAGCACTTTAGACTTAGAGCAAGAAAAGACATGTCTCTCAAGAGAAAGGCTTCCCAAATTAAAGCAGTGCATCAGCATTGTGAGATCCATTGAGCAGGTAAAGACAAAGCTGCTTCACAGCCTGCTAGGAATAAGAGCCCTGATTAAAGGTCATGCGTGCTTAAGGTGCCGCTTCCTTCTGGTATTGTTCCTTTGCCATTTATCTCCATGAACCTGTCTCCTTCCTCCCTCCCTCCATCCTCTTTTCCTCCCTTCCTCCTTCCCTCTTCCTTTCCTTCTACCTTCCCTTCCTCGCATTCACTCCTTTTCCTTCCTTCTCTCTCTCCCTCCTTCCTTCTCTCCTCCTTTCCTGTCCTTCCTTCTTCCTTCTTTCCTTCCCTTCTCTTCTGTTCTTCCCTCTTTTTTTCTTTCTCCCATTCTTCCTTCCCTTCCATTCTGCTATTCTCCCTTCACTATCCTGAACTTGTCTACAATTCTTCAGTCCTTCCTTCCTTCCTCTCTCCCTCTCTCCCACCTTCCCTCCTTCTCTCTCCCTTACTTTATTGTATAAGATGTACTATACTCCCAGTGTGATGTTGCTGACTCAGTAGTCAAATAATTTCTTTCTGGTAGAGGTAGCTTCTGTTGAGAGATCCACATTTTCACATGGTTCTTCTTGGGACTCTGGCCATGCTTTTGTGAGATGCCTGCCTACCCTAATTGGCCACACAGAACTCAAACCTCTGGCCGTGGCCTAATTATTAACATCCTGCGCTAACTAACTGAGTCAACTAGCTGGGAAATGCTTTTCTTCATTTGCAAAGTGTAATCACTACATAAATTTGAGAGTTTCTGGAGCAGTTATTTAGGGGAAATTCTACATCTGAAACTAACAAACAAAAAAACCCAAGAAGACAAGACAATCATTATGTAAGTCTGTAAGTCAGACTTACACTGAAGCAGAAAAAACAAGCCCAATATTATCTTCTAAAATTTTAAAATGACTGCCACAAAGAAAAATTCCAGAAAAAAAAGGCATGTATTTCTAAGCTGAATGTCTTTATTTAAAAAAAAATGTCATTTTCATATATGTGGATATAGGATTTAACTGTAGTTGAATATTCCTTAACTGGATGTAACCAAGATCTTTTAATAGTAAATGATCATGTAGTTGGGATAATCCAACATGGATAACATCTTCAGAGCATGCTATCTAGAATGACAGATGAAAGTACTTTTGAATCTATAGGTTAATGTTCAGTTTCTCAAACACTGAAGTATATCAATTGGCCTAGGTAATTCTATTGTGTTAAAAAGAAAAATTCTAAGTAAGAGCTCTAAGAGTATGAGCTTTAAGAGTTTGAATGACTCTTAGAGATGGAATCTTCATTATTCTCTGAAGACCAGGAATGCCATTTGTCCTACTTGTTCCTGTGGAGGATCCACATTGTACTGAATTCTATGTGGAATAGACATTGAGATCTCAGCTTGCTACAATTGTTTCAAAAATATATACAATATTCAGAAAGAATAGCTGATCTAGTGTGGGTTCAGGGATTCAGCATCATCAGAGTCCTGAATTTTAGATAATGAGGGATCTTGAATATCACTGACTATGTCTTTCTACTCAATAGGCTATTACAGACATAGGGAAGTGAGTCTTGGGCCTGAAGGTTGACCAACCTATGCTCAAATTTAGGCTCTGCCACCATCGATTACACACTCCAAGTTACTATCTGCTGTGAGTTAAATGTTTGTGTCCCCCCACAAATATCCATGTACTGAACCCCTACCCACAATGTGATAGTATTTTGAGTTGGAAAATTTGAAAGCTAATTCAGTCATGAGGGCAGAGCTTTCATCATGAGATTAGTGCTCTTATAAGAAGAGATACAGTAGAGAAGCTCTCTCTACCATGTGAACATACAGCAAGAAGGTAGCCATCTGCAAACGACGATGAAGATTATTGCCAAAACTCAACTGTATTGGCATCCTGATTTCAGACTTCAGATCTCCAGAACTGTGAAGATAAATGTTTGCTGTGTAAGCTGCCCAGTCTATGGTACGAATAAACATATTCATCCTGAACCTTATTTCTCTGAACCTACATGTTTTCATCTGTAAAACTGAGAACATAGAGTTACTATGAAGATCATATGTATGAAGAACCTTTCATAATGCCTCATCTCTAATCTATGTGGTTATTACCAAAGATGAGGAAAGAAGCTCAGAGAGATTAAAGGATTTGACCAAGATTGCACTACTAGTTTCTTTCCCTACCCCTATACTACCAGGGCCCACATACCTAATTGTTCAGAACTGCACCCTTACCTTGCCCATCCCTCCTGATACCAGCTCCTATATCAGAGGCAACCTGGTTTTAACCTTTCTCTTATTTAAAAAGGAATATGTTAAACTGACCCCTATTAATGTGCTAGAAAATATGGAATGTGAAAATGTGCAAGATTTGAAATGAGAAAAACTGGAATCTACCCACTAGAGTATCACAAAAGGTGCTTATAATATTGACACCTTTTGCCTCTTTACCTGAAAGTATCACCCCATCAGAAGCA